AAAAAAAAAGGTAGCTGCTGAGGCTGCTTATGGACAACCGAACACCTCATGGGGATTTGGTTCCTTGGTTTGGAGGTTTAGGGTCATGGTTTCATGGGATATTCCAGTTAATTGGCCTAATAATGTGTTCAGTGCTTCTGTTCTACCTCCCAGTTCATTGTGTAGTACCTGGGGTCTTAAAAGCTTGTAAGTGGCCATCCAAGGCCCAACAATTAGTCTGTATTCACCTACAGCAACAGAGGAAGAAGGAGAGTCAGAAATAGGAGGAAATGGAATGTGTGGCTAATTGCCTCCTTTGCCATGAGACCAGAAGAACTAAATGGTGCCTGGCTACCATTACTGAACATTTGATCTATAGCAGAATCCTGATCAAAAGGGGGAAAATGCAAAACAGAATTTAAAATTCTCATGGAATCCACACTTCCCAGAGCCATGGAGCTTGGATGAAACTACTGCCCTGAGATACTCTTTAAACCTTAAACCAAAAGTATTTCTGAAATCTTCTTAAAACCAAATAGTTTAGCTTAACTAGTAAAAACATCTGTCTTTAACATTACGCTCTTTTAGGAACTATATGGGGATCAAATTAACAACAGCAACTGGAAAGATTAAACAGGAACCTTATGGTACAGTGAGTTTATGTTAACGGGAGAGGAACAACTCAGAGAAGGAGGGTTAGAATGACTGTACAACTCAAAGAATTTAATCAATGTCACTGAATTGTACACGTAGAAACTGCTGAATTTGGTTTATGTTTTATTGTGTATATTCTAAATAGCAACAACAAAATAAATACAAAAAAGAAAACCCTATGGAGTTCTACTCTGACACACCATGAGCTGGAACTGACTTGACTGACAATTGGTTAGATTATCACATTAGCACCAAATTAGCACCAAAATAAGTAAAATACAATCTTAATAATCTATAGACAATCTTACAATCAAAAATAAGTAAATACTTTAACAGTAATTTCAATAGGCACAGTTATAATCTAGAAGACAAACTATTTAAAAGCTAAACTGAGCTTGCAGGG